CAATATATGATACAGAGTGGAAATGGTTTATAAAAAAAGAAAGTAATCTCAAAAGTAGCAAACTAGAAAAAGATTATGAGTGGAGAGATATATAGGGCCTAATAAATGAAGTAAAAAGACAGAGATGCATAAGCACAAAGCAAAGCAACATATAGTCTTTTCGAGTCAAAGCCCTAAACCAAATGTTATCTACATTAACAAGGTTGCATATTAGGAACCCAGAAGTTTATAAAAGCAATACTTGCATAGTATGTTTAAAGGAGCCAGAAATACAAGACCACCTCGCAACATGCGAAATATATAAGAGACTCTGGAAAAAACTCAAAAAAAAGGTGGTGAAGGAATTTCAAGAGGAAAAAAAAAAGAAAAAGGCCAAAGAAAACTCTCCAAAGCTATCACAATATCTGCCAGACCCTGTAAAAACCTTCTTCGGTATAGAAAGAAAAATGAAGCTAGAAAAGAGAAAAAGACTCATTCAAGAGATAATAAACAAAAGCAAGAACAAAGAAGAAAGACTCGATCTGAGAAAAATGCTCTGAATTTTCCATAAGAAGTTCTTTGAATGAATCTAGAAGTTCCGATGCGAAGTACTGTAATTGTGGAATGGAAAGAAAGGCAAAAAATTACCTGCAAAAGAAAAAGAAAGTATGAGAAGGTTCAAGGAAGAAGGACAAAGAAAAAGAAACAGAAGTTAGATGCGCCAGACAAGGAGGAACCCGAAGCGTCAGGGATGAAACAAGAAGTAGAGAAAGAATCATATAAAAAAAATCACAAAAAGTATACAAGGAAGCAAAAACATATATAGTAAACTTCATCCAAAGAGCAGTTAGGCCCCTTTGGACATCCTTGACAAGACCAAGCAAAAGTGAATAATGGTAATCTTGACAAGCTAACAACAGGCTTTTGTTGATCTTGCAGATAATCTCTAGTAAGTTAGAGCCCTGTAGGGGAGAAAACATGTTGTTGAGGCAGATCGCACTTAGGTGCTTTTGGTAACCGAGTAAGTCTTTATTGTGTAAGAGGTGGTAATAACTAGAAGTAATTTTAGTAGACATATATATTTATAAATGTAGTATCTTTCAAATAATAAAGGCAAGATTGCTAAAAAAAAAAAAAAATAAATAATAATATTACAACAATAATTAACTTATTTAAATGATAAATAATTAAAAAAATCCTTACTTTTAAATTCAATAATAGTTTGAAAAGATGCAAATATAAAAAAGTTAGATAGAGTTCTTTGCAACTCTGATACACCTCCAGATCAATTAAAAAAAGCATTTAAAAACATTTTAATAATACAAGAGATTTTATAGCTGACAATTTTACTGAAAAAATTCAAAACTTTCTATTTTTATTTGATATTTAAAAAACTACAGTATTCTAATTAATCACCATATACCTAAAGACTTCATCCACTTAAGGATTGACAATTATTCAACTCAAATTTATATGAATCAATTAATTTAATAGACTGATACTATATTTCTGTATTTAATCAATTTTTGTCTTATTTGAATTTGAAGTTAATAAAATATTTTGCCTAGAGTTATGCATGTTATTATTTGTATAGATATAATAGAATTACAAAAGATAAAAATTATGCTTATCAACTTATCACTAAAGGTCAAAAGTGGTGAATACATAGAAGGAAGAAATACTTGAAATAATATTTAGACATTGAGGGAATAAAAAAATTAGCACCCTTTGCAAAAACATTATAATTGATATTGAATTTGTTTTTTATGTAACTTATTCAGCTTTCTAATATAAATCTGTATTTATTTCACAAAACCTTATATGATTTGTCAAAACTATCATATAAATTTACTGACTAACTCTTCTAGTTTTAGTTTTACGATTTTTAATAACAAGAAGAAATCGTATTTGATTTAGTTAGCTGATTTTCTATGTGATAATAACGAATCGATTCTACCAAATTTAAGTTTACCAGAGTTGTTATGTTTACCAGAGTTATGTTTACCAGAGTTATGTTTACCAAAGTTATGTTTACCAGAGTTATGTTTATCAGAGTTATGTTTACCAGAGTTATGTTTTACCAGAGTTATGTTTACCAGAGTTATGTTTACCAGAGTTATGTTTACCAGAGTTATGTTTATCAGAGTGAGTTATGTTTACCAGAGTTAAACATTAATAGTTAATTAAATTCTACCAAATTTACAGTTACAGAATTACTAATTAATTCCACCTATATTACGAATTAATTATATCTGATATTTACCAAAATTATGCTTAAGATTAAAAATATTAACAGTTTAAATATATATAATTCAATCGTTATACTGTTTAATAGGCAAGAACAATCAATAAACATAACGCTAAAATGTATAACAACAATGGAGAATCCAATTCTTATTATAATCCCCTTTGTAACTAAGACATCAGTTCAAAACTTTATTCAATGAGCAAAAAAATGAGTCTTTTGATTTCGAATAACTATGTGACTTATTTTAGTACTGAGACATTAACTTGTGAACACGAATTTAATAATATTTAATTTACAAAATTTAATATTTTTATATCTGGTTTTCATTAATGATAATTTCTTTACGTTTTTGACTTATAGATCTGTAGAATTCAAATAGTCTCTAAATTTTCAAAAAAAAATTTTTTATAGATGCCATTGTTTGAATTTCAAGATCAAATTCAATAAAATCAGAATATTAATAGACAATACAAAATCTAAAATAAATTTTATTAATGCTAAAGATTTTTTTTTTGTTAATATCACAATAAAGTCATATAATTTGATGTAAAATAATGACTGCAATAATGAACTACCATACAAAACGTCTAAAATTTCTACAAAAAAAAAAAGAGCAAGCGTGGGATCAACTCAAGAAAGAATTGTGTGAAGAAAACTGGATTGTTTTAAGATATGTCTGGTATTATGAATACCCATATATAGTTATACCAGAGCACCTTCGAGAATTGGGTCTTATTAAGTAAACTTAAAACTTCAAAATGCTTTATCTATTATCTAATTTCACTTATATTATTTGGTGTACTGTATTTCGAAGTTCGGACAAAGTTGGAAAGTTAAAAACAGACTACGTTTTTTATTGTGTTTACAATGCCATATAAAATTTTTTTTTGATATACTTATATTCTATATATATTACAGTATTAAATCATAAAAGTGATAATAATAGAATTGAAGTTGCATTACGATTTTTCATTATTCAGCATTTCTTTGCTCTATATAATTTTTTTTTCTTTAATAATTTTTGTATTGCTCATACATGGCTGATTATGATTTATCTTTGAAAGAACTCGTAAATTGTGGGCATTACTGTAGCGCACACTTCTTTTGTTTCTCACTGATCGGAATTCTTGATCAGTGCCCCTGACCATCAACTACACATATATATATAATAGATGAAATCAGTAAAAGCCAAACCCAAAGAATCAATAGTTATTATTACTTACCGCCCAAGTCACAACTGCCCTAAAAAAAGATGGAAATAAATCAACACCTTCTAGATCCGTTGGAATTTCACATGTTTCAATTTCAAAAAGTCGATATATTCCTTAAAAAATTCGTCAGCAAAGTGATTTATTCTTCTTATAATAATGTTCATATATATACATACCCAAATAATCCATAAAGTAAAATCGAAGACTTAGTCCGATACTCTGTACCATATAGGACTTGAATTGTAGAGGCGGTGCTCGTTTCAACTTAACCTCGGATACAACTGTATGGTTTATTATATCTTTTCCTGCTCTCGCATTTTGGACATAATCGGACATTTCTTTCATGTGATCAACAACATATGGTCTGGAACCTTCTACTATACAAATTTCATACGGTTTTTCGGTGGTGGTGTACGCAATCCCATCTGAGCGGTCTGCATTCCCTTTTTGTTTCATTATCGACTTTCTATATGCAGATGCTCGAATAGCTTGGTTTCCCCTAAAAGAATCATAACAAATTAATTTAACACGACAATAAAAGATGTTAGAAATACTTACGGTATATAATGAATATCCGAAAACCTCCACAGTGCCTTCTTTAGAACAGGATGGATGTACGTATTCATGAATTCATCTTCTAGCATATTATGGTTCTTGAGAGGATTGTTATGTAGCAAAGAATACGCATCAAAGCTAAAAGATAAATAAGAACGTTAATAAATTCTGGTAAAAATAGTGGGTATTAATTTTGTGGTTTTCCTGTCAGGGCAGAACAATAATATATTTATCAAATGAACGTAAAACTGAGAATAAAGAAATTATACTTGCAAGGCTGGCAATGTCTCAAATAAAAATCTCTTCAACTTTCTTAAAAATAGATCCTCTTCCGGTTCCAATAAATTTTCCAGCCTGTTATCCCATTGTTGATGGGTACAGTTCTGTTAAAATAAAACAGCGATGATGTGATTGGCAAGCAAAAAGACAAATTAGTACAGGATAGTACAAAACAATATTGATACCTCTGAAAAAAACTCTTCAAGAAATTTAATCGCACTTTCCGGAAACAACTTCTCGACAGGCTCAAAGATCTCTTTTAGAACTTGCATGTAGTCATCCTCATCTGTATATCTTAGAACGAACTCCGAAGACGGGGTTAGGTCCATAATTTCATTCCGAATTAATTCATTAACGGAATCATCACAGTATACTTGAAAACTGCGCACCAAACTGGCCATTTTCTCAGAGCATTGTTGCAGTTCGTTGAGAAGATTTTTAACCAGATTATGATCATGATCGCTCTGTGAAATTTATTTGGATCATTAAAAATTCTTGACTACGCAGTTAAAGTGACTAAAGATTGCACAATCAGCTATATACCTACCAAACTAACCCCATTTTCACGTCTTTCCTGTTCCTCCACAGTTATATCTTCACCTGTTTTTCCTCGCTTAGATGTTTGTTGTTGTGAACAAGATTTATTCGTAAGGGAAGATGACGCATAATTAGATGAATATACATCTTCATCGTCATCCTCTTGTTCTTTGATTGATAAATGTTTATAAAGATCTACATAAATGTTTCGTGGAAAATCGGAAATTTAACTCACCATCCAATTGTGACTTGTTCGTAAGGGAAGATGATGCATAGTTAGATGAATATACATCTTCATCGTCATCCTCTTGTTCTTTGATTGATAAATGTTTATAAGGATCTACATAAATGTTTCGTGAACAATCGCAAATTTAACTTACCATCCAATTGTTTTTGTTTTTTTCGCAAGCTTTCTTCATTCGGTTCTATTGCCCTCCTACTGACGACCTTGTTTAATTCTCTATGAACTTCAGCATTTGTCTCATGGACCTCGTTACGAATCTTCATCTGAAGATATCATGGTTAGCCAAGAACCTTGTCGAAACTTTATGTTTGAACATACCGCTCTTTTCTCTAATAGCCACACATCCCAATCTGAATTGCACTATTTTGTGAAAAAAAA